GGCAGGCGGGCTGCTGGAATGAGGGGACACTGGGTCCGCTAAGGTGATGGAGGAGAGTGCTTGCAGGCCCCGTGCTGTGGACACGGTCCGCGTGGCTCTCAGGAGACCGAGGCCGAGCAGTGGACCTTTAGGGCTGAAACAGGCACGTGGTGTTTGGAGGACGCTTACTGTCAGCCTTCGTAACAGCTGCCAGGCTTGGCGGGTCCTGTTCTAGGTGCAGCCTTTTAACGGACCTCGCCCCTCCCCTCCCCTTTGTTCTCCTGTCCGTCCCCCCAAGTCACATGTGCCTCGTCTTCTCCACTCCGGGGCAGCACTGGCGCCCAGAGTTACACACAAGCTGCAGACTTAACAGCCACAGGGAGGACCACGGAGCGGCCGGAGGCACGGGGCCAAGGAACAGCTGCGGGCAGCTTGTCAGGCTGCCCCGCACACGCGACCAGGCCCAGGCAGCCGGGGTGGTGCCGGTTTGAGGGGCCCCAGGCGAGGGGACTGGGACCCTGAGGCACTTTCGAGTCCGTCACCATCCTGCCCACGACGCCGGCTTCGCACAGGCCTGCGGTCCAGACCAGGTGCCCAGACGCCGTTCCCGGGACCCTCTCCCCAAACGTGGACATGGGCTTCTCCGCGGTCCAGCGACCGCCCGTCACACAAGGAACCGAGCATGACGGGGCCCCGCGCCGCGATAGCTTATCAGTAACTTCCAGAACGCTAAACCCTACGGTTAAAAAAGAGCACGTCTCTTCGAATTCAGGAACCAGAATCGAAGCCTTCGAATAAATAGTTGCTGCTTGTAAAGCCCCTACCCTTTGGTTACCTCTAGAAACACAGGATTACGAACGTTAAAAAGTGCAATTAGCTTTCCCAGTTACAAAGGAGCCAGCAGCCCGCCGCTGTGAGGTCGGGGTGTTCAGTGGGAGTCGCGAGGGCGCTGTCAGGACATCTGATGGACTGATGCCGGGCAGGCTTCCCCCGCTGCCGCTGCCCGCTCCCGGCTACAGAGGGCGAGGCCGGGGGAGGCCGGCGGTAGGGATGGGTCCCGGGCCCAGGGCGTGGCCGGGCCTCGCTCCCCTCTCTGCAGCTGCGGAGCGGCTCCTGCGCTCGGGCCTCAGTACATGTCGCGGTAGATCTCCTGCAGCAGCGGGTGCAGCGCGGCGTCCGCCTCGGTCCTCTTGATGACCTGCACCAGCTGCGCGTGCTCCGTGACCAGCTGCCGCAGGTCCGCCATCTTCTGCAGCAGCTTGGGGAAGAGGAAGGCGGCGTCGGGGTGGTTGCCCTGCAGGTGCAGCCGGAGCACGTGCACGATGCCCTCCTGCATCTTCTCGATCTGTCCCACGTGCAGGAGGCCTGGGCGATCTGTCCCCAAAGGAGAGAGAAAGGGCTGAGTTGATGGTCACCATGGCGACGCCCATGACACCAGCTCCCTTCCTGCCAGGCCTTTCTCCCCAGAAGCGCCGGGCTTCAGACACTGTGTACCTGACCACAAGAGACCAGAGTGGGCCTGGCCAGTGTGGCTCAGCGGGTAGAGCGTCAGCCTGCGGACCCAAGGGTCCCGGGTTCGATTCCATTCAAGGGCATGCACCTTGGTTTCGAGCTCCTCCCCGGCCCGGGCCCTGGTCAGGGCTCCTGCAGGAGGCAACCAAACGATGTGTCTCTCTCGCAGCCATGTTTCTCTCTGTCTCTCCCTCTCTCTCTCACTCTCCCTAAAAACCAGTGGGAAAATATCCTCGGGTGAGGATTAAAATCAAAACAAAACAACAAGCAGAGGTTCAATGAAGCACAGGAGGAAACGACAAGATAGACAAAACCGGTTTGGCTCAGTGGATAGAGCATCGGCCTGAGAACTGAGGGGTCCCGGGTTCGATTCCGGTCAAGGGCATGTACCTGGGTTGCGGGCACATCCCCAGTGGGAGATG